CCCGCCCGTGATGTCTCGCCCATCCATTGGACTGATTACACATGTGATTCAGAGTGTGGTCACGCTGGAGGCGTTCCCTTAGCGTTTCAACACAGCGTCTCGTTCCCTTCGGGGAACCATGGTTACATGCGTAACCTGGAGATGTTTTTGATTAATGAAAAAAACACATACTGTACTTTCAGTCAAAAATAAACAAAAAAAATGTTCAGTAAGTCCTGATAGAAAATTGTAAACAATAAAGTAACAATTTATTTGACTATTTTATTCAATGTAACAATGCTTTCAAATCTGCTATTTATAAAAAAATACATTTGAAAAATTTTAATTACAATTGTGCCCATGTCTCTTACAAGCATGATGTAGAACAATCATACTAATATATCAATAATAGAGCCTTATGTTATTATGTTGCATTATATCATGTACCAAATGCTGTATTTGTGTCTGTATCATGATACAGAACTTTGACACAGACGTAATCTTTGAAATCATCTTTAAATGGCTTTGGTTGTTTGATTTCTCATGTCACTCATGTGAATGTTCAGTCAAAAAAAAAACAAAAAAAACAGTTTATGCTCTTCAGACTCAAAACAAAATTTTGGTCACAGATGTGATTAAATGTGTATTGATTTTAAAGTGTGTTTATGTGTGTAATGTATCGTTTGTGTTTGATTAGGTGTTCGGCTAGATCGTGTACGTGGAGGCCGACAGAAATACAAGAGGAGAATGGATGCAGAAAATTCAGCCTACCTGGGGCTCACACTGCCACCGCCAGCCAAAAAACCCTGTGAGGACACACACACACACACACTCACACTCACACTCACACCAACATCTAAACCTACCCCTCACTGCATTTTTACAATCTCAAAAAAAAAAAAATCATTCTGTATGATTTATAAGCTTTTTTACCCATGGGGACCAAAATTTAGGTCTCCACAGTGACACAAGTCCCCATGAGTTGGTGTGTATTCAGGTTTAAGTCCCCACCAGTATAGAAAAACATGTACTCACACACACACACTTATTAATGAAGGAAAAATGTAATAAACCATATGTAAACTTGTTTTTATTAAAATGCATGCTATTTATTATATACATTTTTATCCTTCAAATATTTTTTTATTATTTTTTGCACTTGCAAACATGACCAAAAGTTTTACAGTAACTGCTCTATTGAAAGTCACACTTCTGTGAACATATACAAGTTTGCTTAAGACATTCAAACATTCGGTAACATTCAAAATGGTTTATTACTGTAATGTTTATCAGTATACACAAACAATGGCATAACAAAATATATAAATTCTCATCAATATCCCAATATTCAGTATTTTGAAAATCATGAATCATGACTGTGGCAACTTAAAGTTTTTATATATTTTATATATATGATATATTTTATATATTGTAATGTATTATAATGATTTTTTAATGAGTATGTATATGATCACACAATGGTAGAAAATATATATTGTGAATATTTCTGCAGTAAAGCTGAAACAAATAGTTAATGTTATATTGTTTATCACATGTCCAGTGTAAATGCTGGTCCGAGTGATTTCACATCATCATAACTCGATTTGTGCCTCCTCATCATTCTCAGTGACGAAGATCGTGTCTCATCTGCTGGTAGCAGAGCCAGAGAAGATCTATGCCATGCCAGACCCCACCATGCCCGAGAGCGATGTCAAAGCGCTGACCACACTGTGTGACCTGGCCGACCGTGAGCTGGTGGTCATCATCGGCTGGGCCAAACACATTCCAGGTCAGTGGAGGTGTTCTCGACACCAGCACCACGCTATTTCCCCATCTCATGATAGTGCAGAAAGAAAGTGTGTTTGTGCAAATCAATGAGCTCAGATTATTATTTATTAACAAATAAAAAGGCCATGAAGACTTGCATAGAGACCTGTACATACAATATGTGTGAAAGCATTTAGTTCTGTGGCAGTTAAAGGAAGAGTTGTTGTTGTGTACACATGCTGACTCAGTGCAGCCCATCTGTGTTGTGTTTTTAGGGAAGATGGTGACCATTAGCTGGTTGAAGTGCTGTCTAGTAAGGAGATTAGGAGGATGTTGACCCCCTTAATCACACACACACACACACAGTGCTGCGTCAGCACTGAGAGCCTTTCAGCAAGGAGCTTACAGCCGACTGGATCACTACTGACCCAAAAACACAGTCTCCTCAAACTGCTCCTCAACACACACACACACTCACACACACACTCACTCACACACACACACTCACACACACACACACACATACACCCAAGTGGGGACCTGAACTGAGCAGGTCATGGGTTAGAAGAGGTAAAAAAAGATGCACTCTAGAGGTCTAATCAATGTTCCACATTCCAGCAGCGGGTAAAGCTTTGAAATGAACAAGCACCATTTGGAAACTTTTTTTTTTTTTTTGCTTTGTCAGTGCTGTGTACCTTTAGATTAGGTTAAACAATGTCTTAATGCTCATTGTTATTGCTGCAATTGGTTTGATTTTTATTGACAAAATATAATACAGTGGATTTTGCACATATTCTGCACACATTTCATTTATGTTCAGCAATTCAGTAAATTATGTTCTGTCATTAAACTATCAAAATAAATATATCAGATGTTAAATTATCCCATACTGTTCAGTAGTATTTAGTGTATTATACAAAATAAACGCATATTGCACATTTACAACAGACGTTAGTCTTTGCCTGCGACAGTCAGTGATGGAGAAATATGATTCATCTGCACTTAAGGGCCTTTAATCCTAGTTTTTGTACTAAACAGCATTAAATTGTTAGTTTTCAAACATAATCAGTTTATTATAAAGTGGAGACCAGTGGATCATAGGTAACATTTTATATGCGTTTTACTTTGCTTATACATTCATATGTAAGCACATACACATCTACACTCACATGTACACGTATGTGCATACCTATATGTGCCCATACATATATGCACAGATTACATATGTTGTGTACATATCAAGGAAGAAGAAAGAAAAAAAAGAAGGAAAAGAAAGAAAAACTATGCACATATAGGGAGTGATCTTTCTTTACATACAAAAAATAAAATCAGGTCTATGAGATGTTGCATATTTGGTCCATTTTTCCCAGTGCAAAACAAATTGTTCCATTTTGTGATTTACAAATGCTGTTATAGTTTATTATAAAGTGGAGACCAGTGGATCATAGGTAACATTTTATATGCGTTTTACTTTGCTTATCCCATTCTACTGTGACAGTGCTTGAGAAGGCAGGTTATGACAGAGTGTTTGCTGGGATTCTTTACTACACAGACCACACTCAAATCAAAACTGACCCTGTTCATTAATTTATTAAGACTACATGATATTTTTTATCAAAATGTTACAGCATTTCACATAGACTGGAATCTGTACCTTAAGATGACTAACTAAGCTAAGTCAAGACACTGTTCACAGCCCATTTTACTGTTGTAAGGTGAACTAATTCTTTTTTTTTTTCTTTTCTCAAATAAAATTAATATCCTAATGATTTTTGGCATAAAAGAAAAATCAATAATTTTGACCCATACAATGTATTTTTGGCTATTGCTACAAATATACCCCAGCGACTTAAGACTAGTTTTGTGCTCCAGGGTCACATATCTGAATGCATTCATATGTAAGCACATACACATCTACACTCACATTTACACGTATGTACATACCTATACTGTATGTGCCCATACATATATGCACAGATTACATATGTTGTGTACATATTAAGGAAGAAGGAAGAAAAAAAAGAAGGAAAAGAAAGAAAAACTATGTACATATAGGGAGTGATCTTTCTTTACATAGGAATTTCTATGAGATGTTGCATATTTGGTCCATTTTTCCCAGTGCAAAACAAATTGTTCCATTTTGTGATTTACAAATGCTGTTATTTTCTCCATTTTATAAATGTCCATTGTAATTTCCATCCATGCATTTAAGGTAAGACTCTCCTGTGACAACCATTTTTTGGTAATGTGATCTAATTCTAAGTGAAGGAGGCAAACGTGTAGGATGGGGCTTGATTTTATCCATCAAGTGTCTTTCAGATTAGGTTTTCACTAATATTATTATTAGTGTACACGCGTTACACACTGGTCTTCTGTACTCACGGGTCCCTGTTAGCACCTGTCCTAAACACAATCGTATTTATATGTCACAGTGAAGCCTTTTATAGTGCACGTTAGGACACGGCGCTCAGACTCCCATCTCATCTGTCAATAAACGGCCATAAACAGCCTCCTGGTATGGTCAGGCCCTATCGAATCGGCCGTTGATTAATTGTTTATTAATCCCTCCGCTGAATGTCCGGGCTCCGGTTGGTACTGCAGAGAGAGGGGGTCTCTGTAAATAGTTTGAGTGGCGTCTCATTAAAGCTGATGTGTGGAACATGTTGACAGATGGCTTTTTTGCTACTAAGGTGCTAAAGACCTTTGACATACATACACTAGCTTCTTGTTCTCGGCCGGGTCGCATTTCACTCTGTCTAAGTCCTGGAGTTCCCTCCGCTCACACAAACGCCGCTTAACAGTTATGCAAACGAGTTAAATGCTAGTCGCACTGCAACTCTACTAGATAAGGAGCGAGTTACAAAAACCGCATGATCGCAGTTCCGATGAGGCCTTGTGGAAGCTTGAGAACGGACAAAGCTGCCGTGTGTAATGTGATGGCTTACCTTTCACTGGAACTGCAGAACTAATGTCTGATGATCTGGACATGTTCTGGACAACAGAAGCTGTCAGATGTGGTTTGGAATAAGGCTTTACATTCCGTTATTGGCCGGGCACAGTAGCCCTGTCACGTTAGACAGCTGGTGATCACGTGCCTCCGGACCCCTGACTCCTAGGGCCGGATTTTTCCAGCAGGGAATTCTGCGGTGAGGATGTGTGGAATTGTTTCCCAACCTGAAGCGTCCGCTGTGGGAAGTCACATGGCATGATAGCTGTCTTGCTTTAAAAAGATGTTATTCTGATTTAACAGGAACGTACTGATTTGACACATAATGGCTCTGTTCCAAAACCCAGTGTGCTCCCTACATAGGCAGCATTTGAAGGCATTGCAGGTGCACTCCTGATGCAAATACTCTTGTGAAAGAAAGGCATCATTATGTTGCATTGTACAATACCCCCTTATGGTCAAATCCTAAAGTTGTGGTCATATTGCGCATTTGTCAATAATTTAGCGATGTATGAAGTGAATCTCACGCAGAAGTCGTTTGCTAAGGCTCTTGCGAAAGAAAGGTATCATTAGGAACCATTCACACAGAACGCATTTTCTATTACATTGCGCTACTTTTCCATTGTTTTTCTATGTACACACACTAGACTGCCGTGTTTGACCATTGCACTCGTGTCTTTCACAATGGCGCTCAAGTTAAAATAAGTTCAATGGGTCTTGAGACCATGCATTTTTCCCCCTTTTCCCATTCCAGATCCTAAGGGTGTGGTCACATTAGCTTATTTTTGATGAAATATTTTGAATAAAAAGGTTGATTGTTGTCACTGGTGTAGTAATGTATGAAACACAGCTCACACAGAAGTCACTTTTAAACCAAGCAGCTTTCTGTTGGCTAGTGCAGAGAATTCTCATGACCAACTTGAACCTGTTGCAAAATGCATGCAAAAATTCCTGATTGTGTGGATTTCTATGGAAATAACTGGATTTCGAGCATGAACATTTGCAGAAAAATAGTAAATGTGACCACACCTTGTGACTGCATAATGTTTTTCAGTCCAAAATGCAGAATTCATATATTTCAGTCAATATCGAAAAGTGTTTAAAAAAATAGATACATTTAATTGAAAATGTGTTATTTTAAACATATGTTTGAGGTGTTATTCCAGTTAGGATGCGCAGCCCACAGTGAAGGTTTGGGCAAAATCCAGTCATTTCATTAGGAATCAACTGGGAATTTCCCTTGAGGTTGAAAAAGTTCCCCATGCAGATTTCGCAGTGGGTTCAGTTGGTCACGCAAATTCCCCACATTCGACAGAGATCTGCTTGGTTTGAAAGCGTTTTCTATGTGAGCTGTGCTTCATACATCACTACACTATTGACAAGAGACGATGGACCTTTTTTGCCCATGAAATTTCCCTGAAATTTCATTAATGTGACCACCACTAATCCCTGTGTTTATATATTTTTTTCTCTTCAGTCCATTATTGAGTCAAAATAAATTCATGGGCACCTTTATTAGACTGGTTTTGATGATGAACTGTTTGACAAAGCTTATGCAGTTAAATCACAAGCATCAAGCCTAAATTTAACAGGCATCACATCACTCCTCATGACGGCGGATAATTCCCCTCGCTCATAGAGTGGTTCCGCTTGTATCCGCCCATCTCTTGGGTTTGCTGTTTTCTTGTTGTCATTAAACGGTGAAATCTCCTTACTGTGTTGCCGGGGCCGATCCAGCTCGAGCTGTGTAATCTCCTTGTAATGGAGTGTGAATACTGCCGGCCGATAAATCAGCACCTCATCAGCGGCCTTTATTAAATATAGACACCGACCGACAGGCCTTAGTGTATTCAATTTAACCATTGAGGGGCTTCAGCACCAGCAATCATGATGGATGGGGCAATCAAAGCCCGGATCCGACCCCGTCCTCACCCATGCGTGAGATGGGAGAGGTGAGTGAGGGGCTATGTCTGCCACAGAGGACAAGAGCTACTTAGTTGACTAGTTGCCCAGGAAAGTAGTCAACTAATCGGCCACATGCCATCAGCGGCCCACCATGTGCTGGCCACCAGTGTTTGAGCGGGGAGGATGTTGAAGAACGGTGTGATGTCATTTCAAACAAAATCAGGACAAAATTTGTTTCGGGAGTTTAACCCTTTAACTGTCACTGCTTGGCGCTCTTTTTTTCATTGTCTTTTTAAACCCATCATATTTTAGTAATCATCATAAATATATATCATTTGAAAGCTTAAAACCTCCAAATTCATCCTGTGAAATCTATTGTAAAATCGGATATTGTGTTACCATGGAAATGGTACTTTAAATCTTTTGGCGGTCTCCTCCCCTTAGCGGGTGGTGTCAAGTGTCATATTTGTTTGGTCTTTTAGAATCATGACAAAATGCATATCGTT